CAAGCTATATGCCGTTTACCAGAAGCACTTCAACATTAAGATAGAAAGAGGCTAAAATTAAATTGATGGGAAACAGACTCTATGCTAATGCTAGTTGTGATCATTGTTAAGTGCTGTCAAGTTAGTTCCGACCCACAGCAGCCCTGTTTAGGGTTTACAAGGAATTGCTGGTGAGCTTGAACCACCAACCTTGCAGTTCAGCGCATTAACCTGCAGTACCACAGCAGGATTAGTTAGGGTGCCCTTATGTCCAAGTCCTTTCTGGACAAAGAATACTGTAAAGGGTAAAGAGGGTTGTTTCTTAATGCTGAGACAATTCATTAGAGGCAGTCTGCTCCTGTAAAGATTTACAGCCTCAGAAACCCTGTGTAGGGTCACTATGAGACGGAACCGACTCCACGACACATAACAACAACAACAACAACACGTTGTTGCTAAGTGCCCCTGAATCGGTTCTGACTCAGTGACTCACAGACACATGATGACTCCGAATATATAGTGTTTCCAAGGAGTGGCTGGAGGTTTTGAACTGCAAACCTTGAGGCTAGCAGTCAAGTGCTTGTCCTACAGCGCCACACCAGAACTCCATGTGCAAGATGAAATCTGCAACATAGCCGAATATACAAGAGGATATGCATAAAGCTTTTGCTTCATGTAGTTTGAAGCTCTCATTTTAGGATCACTTCGGATGACTTCTTTGAAATCACCTCTCAGTGATTGACAGAGACTTAGTAAGCAAAAATAGTTGTATAACTTGAGCTAATCAATGTTTGTGGAACATTCCGTGCAGCCATGAGCGAATCAGCATCCTTCAGAAGTGCATATGGAGCGATTGCTGAGATCGAACAAGAGAAGCAAGACAATGAGTTTCCATGACTGTAAACATTTTCAGATCAGAGAGAGTACATTCTCTGGCAACAGTGGTTAACTGTGAATCAGTAGCAGCAAGATAGTTGGAAAATCCCAAACTAAATGAAAGCTAATAAGCACACTTCTATATAAACCTGTAGGTCAAAGAAGAAAACAAGACAAAAATATATATATTTTTTAAAATAAAAATTAAAGCACAGCATATCTAAAATTGGGGGGTGTAACTAAAGGAGTAATCCGAAGGAAATTTGTAGCACTAAGCATGTTAGAAGGAATCCTAGTATGACGCTGCTAGATAAGCACTGGACTGCTAACCACAGTTGGTAGTTCAAACCCACCAGCCACCCCAGAGCCCTCTATACAGGGTTGCTATGAGTTGTAACTGACTCCATGGCACTTAACAACAACAAAGCATATTAGAAAGATTTGAAATCAATGATCTCAACCTCCATCTCAAGAAATTAGAAAAAGAAGAACAAATCAAGCCCCAAATGAGCAGGAAAAGGAAGTGATAAAAACAGGAATGGAAATTCATGAAATAGTAAAATAATAACAGAGAAAATTAATGGAAAACAAAGGTAATTTTTTCAAAATTTAAACCTAAAATAGACAAGCCTCCAAACTAGCATTGGCAAGCCACAGCCTACAGGCAAATAAATTCTGGTTTGAGGCCTGTTTTAGTCTATGAGCTAAATTGGTTTGTTTATAAAATATTTTTTTAAAAAACAACAGAGGAAGGAGGAGAAGAGACAAAGATTCTATTTGTCTCACAAAGCCTAAAAAGTCTTGCACTTTACAGAAGTTTGCTAACCTCTGAAACCAGATTAATCAGTGGGAAATGTCACGAATTCCTAAAATCAGCAATGGATGTGAGACTATCACCTGAGACTACAGACACTAAAAGAACCCTAAGGAAATACTAAGAACAGCTACCCACCCTGTGTTTGTTAGTTTATTGGACCGTGGTGGCTTACCTGTCGTTGTGATGCTGGAAGGTATGCCACCAGTAGTTCCAATACCAGCTGGGTCCCCATGGTGGGCAGGTTTCAACAGAGCTTCCAGATAAGAGAGACCAGGAAGAAAGACTTACAACTCCCCAAACTGTCTGAGCTGGCCCTGGGCACGGAGCTGCAAGCCTACGAGGGATTGTGAAGATGGGCAGCAGCAGACAACGGCTGGGTCTGTTGTCCACGTGACGGGCCCGCAGTGGGTGGGGCTCACTCACCGACACCTAACAGCAGCATGGTGAGCACATTTCTCTCCATCGTAAGCCTCTTATCCAAACCTCTCCTTCACCTGTTCCAATGGAAATGTGGCTCTCCCCTGATGACCCTGTTCCCTGTAGCCTGCTGAAGAGGAAACATTTTCCCTACCCATATACCTAAAAACGGACCAGCTCACTTGAAGTACATGCCATGCAAAACTACCAGCTGTTCCACGGGAGAAAGATGAGGCTTTCTGCTCCCGTAAAGATTTACAGCCTCGGAAACCCTGTACAGGGTCCTTATGAGTCGGAACCGACTCCATGGCACATAACCACCACCTACGAGTAGTCCCATCACTCCACTGGACTCACCAGTACAATGACTATCAAGTTTTCATTGCCACACACACGTTACTTTCTTTAGTATAAAGGTTAGCTTCTTCCATAGTTGATCATTTATTCACTTACATACTTCCTCAACTCCCCTGTCTTCCGTCATTGGTTATTTTTGTTACGTGCCGTGAAGTCTGTTCTGACTCCTAGCCCGCCTGTTTGTAATTTCCGAGGATCAACTGGTGGGTTTGAACTACAGACCTTGTGGTTAGTGGTCCAGTGCTTACCCTGCGGCTCCTCCCTTCACTGTCCTCCTGGCAAAATCCCTACCCCGCTTATATCTTATTTGCTGCATATATATTTTGCAACTGTACTAAAACCAGACTGTGGCTCTAAGGAAGCAGAATATGTTCTTACTCTTCTCATTTTAAATTTGTGATCGTGAAATCTGAATGGTCCTCAGCCTTAGTGTATACTTAGTATATTTCCCAAGTCATTTCTACCTTCTGAGACCCAAAGTTTCACATTCTTCCTCTCTTCCACCATTCTCCCCCTCAGCCATTGGCCATGCTTCTTGGGTATTTTATGGAGAAAATGAGACAAGAACTTCTAAACCTCCAATTAACAAGGCTACTAATCTGACATCTTACTCCGATGCCGTCTTCTCTTCTATTCCAGTGTTTGAGCTGTCCCTTTTCTTTTGTTGTTCGTAGGTGCCATTGAGCCAGTTCCTCCTCATGGCAAGCCTGTGTACCACAGAAGGGGACACTCCCCAGTCCTCCACCATCCTCGCAATTCCAACTGTGTTTGAACTGATGTTACAGCTACTGTGTCAACTTACCAATTTTCTTCCTTTTTCTCACTCACCGTCTACTTTACCAATCATGGTGTTTTTCTCCAGGATTGGGTCTTCCCAATATGATACCGTCGTCAACTCTCCTATAAAAGAGCATTCTGGCTGTATTTCTAAGTACCTCGGTGCATCTCCGGAAGTCCATGGTATAGTCAATCTTTTTCACCAGCACCAGAATTCAAAGGCATAATTCTTTAGTTTTCCTTATTCCTTGGCCAGTTTCACATGCATTTCAAGACAACTGAGGTACCAAGCCTTGGGTCAGGTGCACTTTAGTCCTCAAAATGACATCTTTGCTTTTGAACAATTTAAAGAGACCTTTTGCAGCAGATTTGCCCAATACAAGATGTCATTTGATTTCTTGACTACTGCGTTGATTTTGGATGAAAGTGAAATGAAATCTTTGACAACTTGTGTCTTTTCTCCATTTATCATGCTGTTGCTGATTGGTCCAGTTCTGAGACTTGCCTGATTTCTGTAGCTTTTCTGTTCCTACTTCATGTCCCAGCCAGTAGCTCTGCCCTCTACTAGTTGTGTGACCTTGGACCAGTTATCCAAGCTTTCTGGGCCTCAGTTGTCTTCTCTGTGGACCAGAAGTACTAGAGCAGGGTTACTGGAAGCTTCAATCAAATGATAGCTCTGAAGAAGAGGAGCACCGGACACACTTGAGCCTCAGCAGGGATGAGCTGCCATTATACATGCATGTCACATGTTGAAAAAGGTACACATTTGAATACTCCCATGTAGGACCTAGCACAGTAGTTCTTGAGTAAATATTTTGTATATCTCTCCCCACACAGAAACTAGAACAGTGGGGGTTTTTTTCTTAAAGTTTTTATTGTGAATTGAGTGATAATTTACATGGCAGAACATACATTTTACCGTCAACAAATCGTATTTGGTTTTATTGTAATGCTTACAATCCCCTCCATGCACTATCAGTTAACTGTATTTGCCTCTATTCGTTCTTTCATACATATATATACATATATATTAATGTACACAAAAGCACACAGGAATATATAGTCATTTAAACAACCAAAAGGCACATTTTGCAAGCCAGCTTCCTGGCTGCCAGCACACAGCCTTTCTCTTTCCATGAGTCTAGAGTCCTCAGCTACTCCCTCTCTCCATGTCCTCATCTCTGCCTCCAACTGGTGTCGCTGCTTCTCTGGTTAGGTTCCCATGGTCTGCACATCTCTTCTCTCTTTATGGCCCTATGGTCCTCTGTTCCTGGACTGTAAGATGAACTACTCCCCCCTTTTTGTTACACAACTTCTACCTTTACAGTTGTGACCATTGCAATTAGTCATGATAACAATTACTCAGTATTGAATCAAAACAATCCTATCCCCATCTCCTTTCACCAGACCCATCTAGACAAGATGAAAATTGTTCACTGGGGATTCTACCTTCCCCGTCTCACTCTGAAACTAAACTCTTTCTTGAAAACTTTCTAAGCCAGTCACTTCGTGCCTTTATAGCCTTCCCCCCTTTTAGGTAGCCAGTGTCTAAGTTGCCTGTCCCTGTCATAGAACAGTGTTTTAATAAATGTTGTAAATTACTAAAAGCCGTTCATCCTGTGCAGACTTTACTTTTGAAGACCACTTGTCCACTCATACGTGGCCACCCCAGTATCATAGTCTGTCACATGTCACAGCAGATTTCCAAGCTCTGTCCCCATAAACCAGCATACGATAACCTGAGATGGCTCTCTCTCTCTTTCTCTTGTTCCCTCAGTATGCACAGATATTAAGAGACAGGCTGAGAGAATCAATACACGATGTTCAGTATGTGGAGCCTCCATTCGATGACTCAATTGTTGACCTAGGTAAAGAATGGAAGAATGCCTTGACCAAACTAAAGTTTGCTAATTCATACAGAATGGAACCACTGAAGAAGTTCCAACCTCACACGGTAGAAATCAAAGTGCAGCAGATACTAACGGTAGGTCCATAGATATTTTCTAAAATATATGATAGCAATCTCTTGACTGTGGTGTTTAATTAACCACATTAAGATTTATGGCGGTGTCATTACCCCTGTTTATTTTTGATAGCATTTTATCTCTGTGATTCTTAAAATACATTGCAGTCATTAATCTTCATAGCTGCTACGAGCTATATCAAATGGAGTTTTCTTCTACTCTACTCAACTCTTAATTATAATCCCTAAATTCCCATGCTTATTCCACAACTGGGGGAATTAATTTTTTTTAAGAAGAAACACTGAATATGTGGATATACATGGAAAATAAGTTTCTGGCTATATTAAAAAATCATAAAACAGGCAGTGCCTGATTTATACAAAGGTTGTTTTCTTCTTTAAACTGACTAGAATCTAAAGTTCAATTAAACAGTTGTTTGAAATGCAGACAAATTTTTGTTTTAACTTTTATTGTGAATTGAGTGATGGTTTATGTGTGCATGGGAGAACATCGGTTTTGTACTCATCCTGTCGTATTTTGTTTCGGTGCAATGATTACAATTCCTTCTGTACATCATCATTCAACAGGATTTTTTCTATTCCCTCCAGTTTTTGTTGTTGTTGTTGTTTTTGATGTACACAAATATACTTAGGAATATATAGTCATTTAAACAACTACTTTGGACATGTAGTCCGGAGGAAACAATCGTTGGAGAAGGATGTCATGCTGGGTAGGGTGGAGGGTCAGAGAAAAAGAGGAAGACCTCCAACGAGATGGATCGGCCAGGTGGCATCATTGATGGACTTGGGGGTGGCAGCGGTGGTGAGGTTGGCTCAGGATCGAACATTGTTTCGTTCTGCTGTGCATGGAGTTGCTATGAGTCGGTTCCGACTCGATGGCACCTGACAACAACAACAAACAACCAAAGGGCACATTCTGCAAGCCTGCCTTCTGACCGCCAGCACCCAGTCCCTCTCTTTCCATGAGTCTAGAGTCCTCAGTTGCTCTCTCTCTCCATGTCCTCATCTCTGCCTCCATCTCTGGTGTCGCTACTTCTCTGGATAAGATCCCGCAGTCCGCTCATGCTCTTCTCCCTTGATGGTCCTAGGGTCCTGTGTTCCTGGAATGTAAAATTAACTACTCCCCCTGTTTTGTTACAAAACTTCTACCTTTACAGTGGTGACGATCCCAATTAGTCATGATAACAGTTACTCACTATTGAATCCTAAGAATCTTATCCCCATCTCCTTTCACCAGACCCAGCTAGACAAAATGAAAACTATTCAGTGGGGATTCTACCTTCCCCCGCACACTCTGAAATTAAACTCCCTCTTGAAAACTGGTAAGCCAGTTACTTCATGCCTTTATAGACCTCCCCCTCCCCGCCTCCATTTTAGGTAACCAATGTCTAAGTTGCCCATCTCTATCAACCCTGTATACAGAGAGGAGAGGATCGATCCTTGATGTTGAAAGTCCTTCCCTCTCAGTTGGTATTTTAAGCTACTATGTTCATAAGCGTAGTGGTTACGAATCGGGCTGCGAACCTTAAGGCCAGCGGTTCGAAACTACCAGCTGCTCCACGGGAGAAAGATGAGGCTTTCTACTCCCGTAAAGATTTACACCCTCGGAAACCCTATACAGGGTCGCTATGGGTCGGGAACCGACTCGACGGTACTTAACAACAACAACAACAAATGTTCATAAGTATAAGGAGCTCTGGTAGCATAAAAAAACTTCAACTTTGCAAAAGTACTATTATGGTTACGAATTGGACTGTGAACCGCAAGGTCAGCAGTTTGAACCTACCAGGTGTTCCGTGGGAGAAAGATGAGGCTTTCTGCTCCTGTAAAGATTTACAGCCCCAGAAACCCTGTACAAGGTCGCTGTGGGTCGGAACCAACTCGATGGCACTTAACAACAACAACAACAACAACAACATATTCATAAGTATAGGCCAAGTTCATCAAATTGTAGCAATTTACACTTGCTTCCTTTACACTTGTCTTCCTCTAGTCAAGCTCTAATCATCAAGCAATCGAAGATGGGTCATATGGGTACTATCTGCAAGTTTGGGCGTACTTCATATCAGCTGGATGCTTCACTCTGAGCTCTAACCCTCTGTGGCTAGGTCATTGTCCCTGGGCTCAGTAATTCCCATGTCTCCCCAAACTTCAGGCCAACCAGCCCTTCCTCTTCTCTCTCTCATCTCAAGGTCGACAGGAGTCTATGGAACGTGGTCAAACTCAGTCCATGTCTTCATTGCTGCTTTTCCCCTACTTCCACTCACCAGTAGACCAAAGTGGTCACCAGTAAGCTTACATGCCTGCTTGTGTGTTCCCTTTAAGTTTCAGTCTTGAAGGGAGGTTTGTCCAGAAGGGATTGATTGCTTGCCTTGATGGCTCCCTGGCAAACAAGTTGCTTGTTCTTAAGAGAGCCAAACAGACTGCCGGTTTTGGTTTTGGTTTTGGTTTTGTGCTGGTCATTTTTCAGGAAGTATCGTCTGTTCCTCCAGCCACTTTGGGCTGGTCTGAATACCCTTTCAAGTGGGAATGTCCCACCTCAGTAGGTTCTGGATGGGGCTCAGGATTCCACCTAAGGTCCTATACACTACAAAGGCTCCGCAAGAGGCCTATTTCGCTGAGCAAGTTCTAGAACACCTTTTAGGTATTCCAATCGGTTATAGACTTTCTGTAATCATGTTTCCCAGGATTCCTTTCTATACCACTCATGTGTCTATTTTATAATATTAGGCAAGGGAAACCAATATCCGTAAGACAGTTAAACATCTGAACATTATTTCCCCTCTTTTACCCATTCAGGCTATGCTTCAATCCCTGTATCCCAGAGTCCTGTCGCTACAAAGTTGAGCATACATCAGTATTTACCTCTGTCCCATTTAGCCCATACAAACCTATCTAAGTGTGCCCCAATCTACCTTGTTCTTCCACCCCCTCCTTCCCTCCTTCTTGTATATTGCCCTCCCCAACCTGAGCTATGATGGAATTATCCCCTACCCTGTACCTTACTGTCCCTTTCTACCCCTGGTAACCAACAAAGAATTTTTTTTTTTCTTTTGGTATGGGTATCTTTTCTTAAATTTTTGCAATAATAGTCTTATGCAATATTTGTCCTTTTGTGACTACTTTGACTCAGCATAATGTCCTCTAGCTTCATCCATGTTATGCGGTGATTTGCAGCTTCATTGTTATTCTTCAAGGTAGCATAGGATTCCATTGTGTGTATGGACCAAAGTTTGCTTATCCATTCTTCCATTGATGGTCACTTAGGCTGTCTCCATCTTTCTGCTATTGTAAATAGTGCTGCTATGTACATTGGTGTGCATATATCTACTCATATTTCTTGTGTATGTATGCCGAGTAGAGGAATTGCTGGATCATATGGTATTTCTATTTCTAACTTTCTGAGGAAGCACCATACCGTTTTCCAGAGTGGTTGAACCATTTTCATTCCCAGCAGCAGTGTAGGAGGGTCCCAGTCTCTCCACACCCTCGCCAGCATTTATTGTCCTCTGAAATGCAGACACTTTTCCAAGAAACTTCGACTTTGCAAAAGTACTATTATGATCCTTATTCTAATTGTATTTATAACAATTTTGGTATCCAAAGACTGCCTTGTGCAGGTGGAAAGAGCCCTCACTCTAATCCTTAATTAAGGATCAAATTCAATTTGGGGAGATCTCATTAAATTGATTGGGGGACCTTTCCTGAATTCCTTCTCACCTATGGTTCCAAGTACTGCCTGCTCTCAGATGTTTCCCGATCAGCAAATTTCTTTGGTGGGATTCCACCAACCTAATTCCACCCTTTACTGTTCCATGCCATTGAGTCAGTTCTGACGCCTAGTGATCCGATGCACAACAGAACAAAACACTGCCTGGAACTGCTCCTCCTCACAGTTGTGATACGTGAGTCCACTGTTGTTGCCACTGTGTGACTACATCTTGTCAGGGGTTTTCCTCTGTTTCATTGACCCAGTACCACACTAGGAGGGGCTCATTGTTTGAAAATTGCTCTCCACCCTTTTAAAAGATGTGTTCCTTCAGTAACAGCGAATCTAGTCATTGGGGAAAAGTGTATGTTTAATTTATTCGGTACTAAAAATTAACTCAGTCCATTGCCCTCAATTTGCTTGAACTCATGGTGACCCAATACCCCTTTAATCATATAATAAAATTACTTCTTTAAATTGGAACTTTTATCAATAAAATTACATTCCGGTTGATGCAATTTACGATGGTGAGTATATGAGCAGCACAGCTTGGCAAGGAACAAGAGGAAGGGCAGGGACACACCGGGTCAGGAGACACCACCCTCCCTGGAGTGTGTCCTCAACTGGTTCTCTGTGGTTCCAGCCCTCATAGCGTTTCCTATCACTAGGAGCCTCTTTTCTCTGGAGTCCTTTGTGTCCATTCATTGCTGCTCCAAACAACCACTGACTCCAATACCAGAGAGGGAAATTGCTCTGAGACATTGCCTTTCAGATTGAACGTTGTTGTTGTTGTTAAGTGCCGTGGAGTTGGTTCCGACCCATAGCGGCCCTGTACAGGGCTTCCGAGGCTGTAAATCTTTATGAGAGCAGAAAGCCTCATGTTTCTCCCGCAGAGCAGCTGATAGTTTCGAACTGCTGATCCTAAGGTTTTCAGCCCAATTCGTAACCACTACGCTACCAGAGCTCCTTAGACTGAACATTAATTGAACCTTAATTGTACAGTAAGGTACAATTATGAAATTTTGACAGGCAAATAAAACTATCTGCCCAAAAACAGAGTGCATGAATTCGTCTTCAGTCCTGATTTAGGAAAGCGAACAAACAAACAAACCATTCTCGGAACACCTGGGCAGATTTAGAGCTGGATATAAATGATACAGGTGGCCGTGTGCTATCAAGTCGGTTCCAACACATAGCGACTTTGTAAAGGATTTCTGAGGTTGTAACTCTTTACAGGAGGAGAAAGCCTCATCTTACTCCCATGGAGTGGCTGATGGATTCAAACTGCTGA